CAATTAAACCACCAGAGGAAATGCCAATTTTTATAATATCTAACCTAACAGAATTGCAGAGTCTGTCATAACATACTTGCATGCCCAATTCTACCTGCATAATCTAATTGAATCAAGTTGTAATTTTTGGTTCGTGCATTTTCCTGACGAAAAACGGGATCGCATCTGAAAAAGTTAAGGAGCATTGTTTATTTTCAAAGAAAATTTATAAAACGGCGGATATATGACAAACTCTTTTTTCTACATCTTTTTCTTTTCACAGTACCCTGCAAACCTCATTCTGTCGACCTTGTGCGCTTAGAATCGCAGATTACTTTGAAATGGCAGGAGCAGGCTGGGCCAACATGCGGCGAAACCAAGCGGCTGTTGATTGACTTTCAAACGGACGACTCTAAGCCTCTCAGGAAGGAAATTTCGCTCCCCGACAACTCCGATCCCAGCGACAAGTATAAGGAGGTACAACTTGCTCCGGCCGAATACTGCCGTCGTTATGCAGCCAGCCTTATTTTGCAGAACAACGCTGGAAGCAGTTCTTATGCAAACACTACTGGGCTTCCCATTGGATACCCTGGTGAGTGAATGCTAATCTCGAAATTGGGGCACTTGCCTAACTCTCAGCCTTGGCTGTCCGACCAGTTGTAGGGGCAGCAAGTTTCAGTCGACTGTTTAAACTATTATGGAATGAGCGACATGATAGGTTATTCGGATGAACTGACAATAAATTCAATGATAATAGAGTTGACAACTGATTCGTAATTAACTGACAAAGGTTGAACGCGGAACGTTCATCCGCATTTACGACATATCCGTTTTTATATCTTCGAAGATCCAAAACAGGATTGATAAAGCTTTGGATAGCGTTTTAAAGCGAAGAACACATAAATATGTAATTATTTGTTCTCCTATCGGAGAACCCACCGAGCAAAGTGATAGGTTTAGAAATATTTTTTTACAGAATGTGTTGTCAAAGTTTTCTGTTGTCTCTTAAGATTGGCATTTTTAAAATTTAGGGGTGGGGTGGCGGATCTGCTTAAGAAAGTTGACACAATTCTGAAAAACTCGCGGCCTCGGTGGGAGTCGAACCAATACACTTGGGGAGGCTTGTGGGTACGTTCGACTCCCACCTAGGCGGCGAGTTTTTCCGCAATTGGGTCAACTTAATTAAACAAATCTGCCCAATCCCTCTAACCATTAATGGAGCCTAGTAGTCATTCTGGTGAATTCTAGATGATTGCTTAGGAAATGCTGCCTGGACAGTTAGCTTGCTCTTCCGTAATGTTGGATTCCATACAAACAGTAAATTGGGCTGATAAAATCGATCAAGGTGTCATTCAATTCATAGCGCACGGTGCGCCTCGTAGCTCAATGGTAGAACGTTGGCTGCGCAAAAACCTTTTCTTTTTGTGGGGGTTCGACTCCCACTGAGACCGCGAGTTTATTTCACAACTGGCTCAACAAAAACATACCTTCTTCGAGTCGACATGACCTTCATTTACTCATTCTAACATAACAGACTGTAAACCGAGTATCTAGAACTACGTCATCAATAACGGATACAGTATTAATAAAAGAATGAATTGTGATCTGCAGAATGAAGAATGAACTATGTTGTCGTTGTAATTATTTGGGTTCTTGATTGGGAATAATGTTTGCTGGCTGCGATGAGAAAGGCGAATTAAGACAACAATGCTTGCCTTCATATGGGTAATGCACTGTGTTTTAACGTTAAAGTATTTGAACGTGTATTTTCTGTACGCTTTTCTGCATAACACGCAAGATACGTTATGTAACTACACCATACACGTTTTCTATTCCTACGTCCTTAAGTGCAGCTAGTGATACTACTTTATTAAAATGAAACCTTGGCGGACTCTACCTTGAGCTGCTTTGTTATAACTCACCTTCACTTTCCTCAACGAACCACATTGTTTGTAGCCAGGAACGATCATATGCATCTTTAGTGAATACGTGGGATTTTAGGGTAGACAGAAATACGCGATATTTGTTTTCATAAGAGAACTGAGGTAACATATCTGCGTCGAACTACAAATTATGCTTGTTCCAACACAGAATGAGTTGACGGCCATGACTTGTTTCAGCAGGCTCCGTCGACCGATTCAGTGTGGTTGAACTCCAGGCACTTCCCTACTGAACTTCATCTACTCCCATACATACCTCGCAGTAATAAAATGCAGTCCAAGCCCCATAACTATGGCTCATCCCATCAGCCCATTAACTACATCTGAAACCGCCCCAAAATGCGAATAGGTGGCGCACTTGGCGTATCAGTGAGAGTCCTGCACTATGCTGCATGGTAGAACCCCACCAGATACCATCCTTCATTGCAAGCGTAATAACTGGCTTGGACATGTAGGTAATGCGTGCAAGAACGAAGCGGGAGAGATCAAAATGATTGATGACCGTTCGCCGATCGCTAACGGAACTCACTCGTCCTGCCCTGCCTTGGGGCTCATTCTCAAGCACCGCTAGCAGCTGCGCGGCGGCTCGTATCTAGGACATTAGACGGACACAATTAAGTGTGCGAGGAGAGGGCAGGGCAAATTCCGCGCTAGTCCACTTTTGTCACAAACTTATTCCCACGCGTAAGTCACCTTCTTGCACCTGTCATGCCGCTGAACACCCAGTGGACATCGTCCCATTCGAGGTTCCGGCTGTCACCCTGTGGCATTTTCTTGAAATAAATGTTTGTCTACCCAAAACAATCCAATGTATCTATGGATTCTTTTGATTGCTTATGAAGTAAAACCACATAAATAAGTTAGACCAGGAATTCGCAAATATTTAAAGCCACGATAAACCATATCACATGTGGAATTTCATTTTTATTCTTCTTCGTGCATTTGTGGTCTTTTAAACTTGTATAGCATGGAACAAACAGCCCATAGTCAAGCCGACGGTTGACCAAAGACAGTTGGAAGTTGTGTATCCATTTGAACGGTACTGTAAATACACCTCGGACTTGGAAATGAAAGTAATGAAGGACGCTTCTTCCACGATCAAGACTGGACGCCACATAAATTCAACATGGACAAGTAAATGCCTTTTTAAATGTTCCTTTTAATGTATTCCTTATCCATTTGTTAAACCCTTGGTTGTGAACAGCCCTTTTATCAGAATTTGAATTTTCAACTTGTAAAAGTGAGCTCAAATGAGGTATGTTATTTAAAACATTTTATTTGTAGTAGTATTTTTGTTATTATTTATTGTTAATATTTAATGTTAGATTTATTAGTATTAAAAGTATGATTTTAAACATATTTGTCATTTTCGACTTTTTTACAACGCCGGAGATTTTTCGGTTATATTTGTTTTTGGGAACCATTCCTCTTTTTTCAAGAGATAAAATGGTAGGTTTTAAGATTTTGTAATAAATGTTTATGATATTATAAATTAACATTAATAGGAAAGCTAATGTCTTGAAAATAAGTGTCTTACTCGGCTTTTGTTTCATAGAATTTAGTTGCGGACTTTTCTTCCTTTTTTTAGTTTAAAGATGAATACAGGCGATTTTATTTCAACGTCAGTGACGGCATACAAATTACAAAGTAGAGAGTGAGCAAGGAGAATTATTGTTAGTTTATAAAACATAACAACTAAGATGTACGGCGACATTTTCAGGTAAAACCTATTATGCATAAGTATCCGCAAAACTACTAAGGCCCTTCTGTTATTCCGACAGCAGTGAGCTTGTAAATCCAGACATTTTGCCACATCCAGGATAACTTTAAACACGGCTTCGTCCGTATGAGTCCAAGGTGGTAGTAACGTTTATTTTACATCAACAGACATAGAGCTGCCAACACTTACAAACGGACTTGTCTACACGGCAAGAGTACAAATACAACCAACGGCTGGCCATAAGAGCGCGCCTCCTGGACACAGCCCGTGGTCCGCATGGATTGAGTTTCCCACAAGTGCAGGTTAGTTGACAGATATATAATGCGACCAGACATGACGATTAGATACGGACTTATATAATGGTTTGCTCTCTTCTCTTATCCTTTACTAATGCTAGCTCCTGTTATGCCCCAGACCTTCAGCATTCTATGATTTTCAATAAACATTTTGATGACAACCGAAATTGGTTTTTTTTGAAGTTCACCTTCTGAAGCAGATGTCCGATCAAAACTTGTTTTATCTACAATTAAAAATTAGTATCTTGTGGTCTCAAATTATAGACGAATCATTGAAGAAAGCAAATTCTCCCTCCTGCTCCTTTAAAAAGAGCTAGAATAGCAGAGCAAATTGGAAAGCCCTTAAAAACTTATCCCTGGTAGAAAGACAACGTTCTTATTAGTAGGTTACAACCCGCTCGTCACGGTTATGCCTTAAATAAGTAGGCTGACAGTTTCACAGGCATTTATAATAAGCAGAATAGCTAGAATAGCGCAGCAAATGGGACAATAACTGAAAACCCTCATGTTTGTATAGCCAAAATACTCTTTACAAATTGCTGGGTTTTGATCAGTTAAGTACCAGAATTTTCAAATAGTTGAGTATTTTTCATAACAAAACGAATATAATGAAGTCGTTAGAGGACTTGTGACACACTTCGAAATGCTAATGCTCTAATTAAAAATAAACGTGCCTATGGCAAATGGACAACGTTCTTACAGTAGGTTACAACCCGCTCGTTACAGTTACGCCTTTAGAGCGTAGGCTGACAGTTTTACAGGCATTTTAAATAAGCACGGGCTACTGTATACATGCCGAAATGCTTCCTTGTCTCACTAGGTATTCTTTTTTTCTCAATTTTGACTAGCCCTTAATAAGGTGGATGTAGCCAACGTCAGCGTACTGCCGCTTGAGATAGAGAATGACGGCAGTCGAACACTCACCTGTCCGCTGTCTCAGCACGACCCCTCTCCCCGCTTCTTCCAGGCCGTGGATATCAGGGCTTCACCCAAATTGTCAATGTGCCTTGAAGTCAGTTGGGATTTTCTGTCTGCAAGAACGGGTGTCTTTGGATTCATTCTGGTAATAAAGTCCTCAGAAACACCCTCTGATGCAGGTGCAAATGCGAACCGCACAGGGTTCACGAATGCCAACTGCAGAACCATTTGGATACCCTGCTCCAACTGTGTTGGAAAGTACACATGGGTAAGTAACATAGATTTGTGGATCCTCTTAGTATCAACTTGATAAGAAATAATTACTCAATTGCCTTAGCGAATTGACCCTTTCTGGCATTAACCATGAGCAACAAGGCATAACCAACCCCAGGTGATGCATCGCAAGAGGCCCGAGCCCGCGACCTGCTGTTTAGAACACGCTGCAGTACTGTGGGAAAATGACGCCAATTCTCAAGTCGCAGTTCATTCGATGAGACTTGGTGACACATTCCAGTTGGATGAAAGTCGCGCGAGCCGCGAGTTGCGTGTCACAGTTTACTAGGCCCCAGTGCAATGACCTCCCAACCCATCTTCGGTGCCTAAAGTCAGTTCGACCAGAACGCACAGGTGAAAACACCTTCCAACGCCAGTGCCGGAGAGCCAGTTGACCAAACAGTCGCCATGCCACTACTGTCCAACACAGTTGTGTTAACATTTTCAGCAGATAACGACGCGATTGTCGGTCAGCAAGCACCTAGCGCACCAGAAGGGGATCATCCTCGATGAAGTAGGAGCTGTTAATTGGCATGGGTAGCGTAGCGACTGTATACTATAAATACTACGACTTGTTCTCTACGAATTATCCGCCTCGAATGCTGTCGCCGATTATGTGTGCGAGCTGGAATCCAAAACATCAGGCGAATAGGGTTCTTGGCCCTGAAATTACATTTACTGCTTCTCGTGGAAGGAGAGAGTTTGGCAAATGCTGTAAACAAAATTAATGCGCAAGTCACCTATAGCGTTCCCACACTGTGGAGCAGACGATGGATCTCTTAGTTTGCGATGGTGGATCTCTCTTCTGCACCACGAACTCCATGCTTCGGCGGTTTCGAGCGAGATCAAATACAATGTGACATAGGCGTTCACCGATCGGTCATAGGATTCACTCGTCTCGCTGTGGCTTGGGGCTACCTTTCGAGCCCTGCCAGCAGAATGACCCCACCGAAGAAGATAAGGGTGACTGGAATGACCATTTCCAGTTAGCCAGCTCGAAAGAGAGGGTACTTACGCTCTAGCCAGGAGCTCATTGCCCTGTCGGTTACACCCTGAACATAAAAAACGGATGGTGTTGAAATGGGCTGAAGAATACCCAGCACATGGGGAACCGCTCAGTCCAATAGACTGACAAGTACATAAGCAGAAAAAAAACAGTCTAACTGCAGGTGCTTTGACAGGGAAACGATATAAAGCAGAGTTTTATCACCATTTAAATACCATCATGATAAATTACTGAAACATCTGTAGAGGCCTATAGAGCTGCATGAAATAGCTGCCATGATTATGAGACATCAAGCAAAGTCTGCTATTTCTTAGACGACCGAAATTCCGCCCTGAAAACAGAACCTTGCCCGTTTAAATACACGTACTAGGGCCACAACAAAACCCTCCCTTTTCTTATGACCTTGTTCTCCTTGAGAGATTGAAACAATGTGTCTTGAGACGACACAAATCTTGGCTTTTGGCAAAATTGTAACAACCTCCTCCTGCGAAATTCAAAAGTCAATGAACGTCATAGGAGGGGTAAACTTTTTCCTCTTTCTTTACCAGACTGGCCTAGTTTTCGAAGCACAAATTTCTCTTGCTACTAATGGCCCCTCTGACCGTTTTCGGTTTTTTTATGCCTTTTTTCAGAAAAACTCAAAAGACATCGTCCTGGAGGATATGCTTAAAGTTTTCGAAAGCTGTGGATCCAATAGGAGGTCGAAGAGAGCAGCCAGCAGCGTGACAGAAGAACTGGAGCAGCACCTTCGAACCTCATCTACGCTCGAGGGAACGCTCAAGGCGGAGCATGAACGCGTGGTCCTTCAGCTGTTTCTGTCTGAGAAGGACAAACCGACACCCCAAGGCGTCAATGTCCAGTTGTACGCTCTCAAGGCCCTGCAGATGCAATTAGCTATACAACAAGCCTGGGGAAAGATTGAAAAAGGTGCTTTATTTTGTTTTCGAGTAGAGAAATGAGCGTAAACTGTAATCCTTACATTGGCTGCCTTATCATCTGTCTATTGCTACATTCAGATAATGCTCCACTCTAAGGAGATTTGATGTTGGTTCGCTGGCAGCACCAACAGCTTAGCTGCCTGTGCGTTAAAACATCATCCGCACGACTTATCCCTTTTACTGGCCATCAATCAGATACTTAACACGCGGACTGATAATCTTAAGAAATCTCTCTTGTTACATTTACTTTACTGGAAAACGGGTCTTTGTTAGCATTCTCTGCGTTGCTCAGTCCAACCCATCTAATGGACTGAAAACAATCATTACGCTTCAGAAGTCATTGTTTGGAGGATTGCTGGCTGATGGAATAATTCACCCCGCCCACCTTATCAATTTCGTGGGTCTCACCACTGGCTTTGGTGACTGTGTCTCGCCGCAGTTTACTCGTGCTGCTAGTACTTTTGACTTTGGCAAGTCATAGTGGCAGGGAATGGATTCATCCAGCTCGGATGAAGCACCGAATTCCTCAGCTTGTACAAACGAGACACGTCAATGGTTGTGGATTGGGGCGTTGACGCATGAAGTAATAACTCATTCCTGCTCAGGGTTCAACTTCGGGATCAGGAAATTATCAATGAAGACTGACTCATTGGGGGGGGCGATTAACTGACCGCGGTAAGCCCAAGCCCATCTACCAGCCTGTCGACTGCGTTCAGAAGAAGCAGACGCAATTTTTATTCATTTAGCGTAATTCATACATACCGAGTTACAGTATTTATACTGTGGCATAGAAGCGTACACCGATCTGTCAGAGGACCCACTCGTCCCTCCATATTGCCATCGGA